GATGATAACTTTTCACCGGGCCGCACAGTTAGTAAATTTTTTTAAAGTAAAGCAACCGGAAGGCAGTATGTTTCTTTATTCTGAAAATCTCGGGAGCTTCGCTCCGTTTCCGCGTCCGATTTCCTGTCTTTCCTTCCCCAAAAATGTCGAACTTGACCCATTTCAGAGGCGTAGCACGTAGAAAATAGAACCGGCGCATAAGGGCCGCGACATGCTGCTCCTGAGACGCGACCAACTCGCGCTGCTGACGGCTCCGGTGGAAAGAAGGGGTTAGAGATAGGGTGAGGAGCTCAGACATTCGGGAGGGACTCGGAGTAGAACCGCTGCTCCTCCGGATCAAAAGGAGCCAGTTGAAGTGGTTTGGGCATCTGGTCAGGATGCCTCCTGGACGCCTCCCTGGGGAGGTGTTTCGGGCATGTCCTGCCGGCAGGAGGCCCCCGGGTTGACCCAGGACACGTTGGAGAGGTTACATCTCCAATCTGGTCCGGTAACACCTTGGGGTCCTGCCGGAGGAGCTGGTGGAGGTGAACGGGGAGAGGACGGTCTGGAGCTCCCTAGTTGGGATGCTGCCCCCGCGATCCGGACCTGGATAAGCGGAGGAAGACGACGATGACGAAGTCAAAACATGGAAGCAAAGGACAGAAAGAGCAAAACAAGGTATGAGATCTGGGGGGTGGAGGGTCTAAATGAGAGTGGACAGTCAAAAGACAGGAGAAGAATAGAGAAAACGGGACATTTAGAAATACAGCTCACGATGGAGGCATCAACAGAATGACCCACTGTTGTGGACCAACGGGATGAAAGCCAAGGAGAAACGGAGGATGGATAGGAAAATTGAATATGGTGATCCTGAAGGCTGGAATAGAAGCTACAATAACTATAATGAAGAGGAAGAGATCTATCCAAAAAAATCAAAGTCGTAACAACAGCAGAGATGGAGAGCTGGAACAGCGACAGGTGGACCACAATAAAAGAGGAGGGAAACGGAGCTGAGGTGTAGGGTTGGTTAAAGTGAGTACTTTAGGAGCTCAATATATATATATATATATATATATATATATATATATATATATATATATATATATATAAAATCTACTTGTGACCAATAAGCTGTGATACTCTATCTAAATATAGAATATCAACCCTGCCTGGTCTTTATTGTGTTGAATCAGAAGATTCTAGGATTCTTTGTTTATTAAGGGATTGTGCACACTCTGTTTTCATTCAGAAAACAGTCAGGTTTACAAAAGTAAGAATTTATTTTACCAACAATTAAAACATAACAAGTAACTAAGCATTTACTGTGATGGATGGAACTAAAGGTGGTGTCTGGAACCTGTGTGTGAAATGCGATGTTGGTCAGAATTCCGTATCTCTAACACTAATGTCATTTGAAATCAAAATGATTTCCTTGAAAAGATGAGTCCATTAGCCTATGTGAACGCAAGCCTTGTCCACAAGTACCAGCATTCAGAGGGACAGCAGAGACTTAAAAGCACCTCCTGGTGATGTGGCTATCATGTTCCACTCCAGCAGCAGATGGATGAAGCTTACAAAGGTTTACGTCTCGGCCCGGCTGCTCCGGTCATCGCAGGATCGTCGGCTAGCAGTGCCTACACCACGCTCAGGACAATCCAGACTCTTCTCATGCATCGTTCCACAGATGTGGAATGACCTACCAAGGACTACCAGAGCAGGGGCTTCCTTTTCAATTTTCAAGAAACTCCTGAAGACCCTGCTCTTCAGAGAGCATCTTCTAAACTAGCACCCTCCCTTCACCCGTCCCCCCTCTCTACTGTCCACTCCTTGTTCCCTCCTCTCCATGATTCATCATGCTGCCTCACTGCCACCTACTGCTGACTGGAAATTGTTTGTTGTTGTTGTTGTTATTGTTGTTGTTAGCCTCAAGGGCAACATGTCGATTATAACTTGTAAGTCGCTTTGGACACAAGTGTCTGCTAAATACATAAACATAAACATCTCAGAGAGCTGAGTTCTGGATGTAAAACAGTTTGGTTTGCGTTAAGCTATGAGGTTGATTGTTATCAAAAACCCACATCAGACGCTATCTGTGTGTCCACATTACCCGTTTTCAGAGACCCTCTTGGTGGATCCGAAAGTCAGAGAGGCCGGATGACCGCTGGCACCGGAGGGCTGTAGAATACCGTAGCAGCGACCCTTCAGTCCAGAGATGTCTCGGGTCACGACAGACGGATGGAAGCGCGCGTCTGGTGGACTCTCAAGGAGTGGAAACAATATCAGCTTATTCTGCAGGAACTATTTTGTTGTACCAGCTTTGCAGGTGCGAAAAAGGTTTTGACGACGTGTCAAAATCTTTGGTTGGTTAATGAGGTGTGCTTCAGGTGGCCGGTCTGAAGCTTCTCTAGAACTAAAGAATCACCAGCATGATCTGGTTTTAATATTCTCATGTTATGATTGTAGCCAACCAAAGGTTGACAAGTTTGGATGCTACCAAGAATCTCAGAAACACACACCTTCTTTGATCCGGAGGCTCTGATCTGGGTAAAAGGTTAATTATGTGTCATGGACTTAACTTTACCTTACTCTGTACTTGTGTGAGTGCAAATGTTATGACCTTGTCAAGTAAACATGCTGAAACAATCACTGAGCACAGATTAGTGAAACATTTCACTATTTATAATTATTATAAATAGCAATAACAAACATTTATTTAATGATTAACTGGCTTAAGTTTTATAAGTTTCCCCTACAGATCACAACATGCCCTATAGGTTATAAATTGTAAGTTGCTTTGGATAAAAGCGTCTGCTAAATGAATAAACATAAACATAAGTTCATGTTTAATTTTAAAATCTTCATTCTTTGAAGCGAGGTGTGAGGGACCTTGGAAAGAACAGGATGTCAATGTTATGATTCGGAGAAGTCAACAAGCAGTTGATCTTGTGGCTTGTTGGCAGGTAGAATATAAAATCCACCTCATAGGATTGAATTAGGTCTGTTGATGACCTGTAGGTCATCTGTAGGTGAAAACTGACCATTTGTGGACATTACAGGGGACAAGAGGAACAGTGAGATGGAAGAGAAAAACATGAAAACAAATCAAAAGATGAAACTATAAATAATGAAACGGAATGAAATGACGGTTTCCCCTCTCCTCTGACACAGGACAAGTCTGCATGAGATATGGCCTCAAGGTCTCATGCATTTGTTATAAACTGCTTATTTTCAGCTCAACAGAACAATGAAGAAAGGAGTCTTTCCTTTTAATTAAAGAACTCTATTTTAATAAAGCTAATAATGCAAAGTGTTAGTCAATAAATAAGATGTGACCAATCTGTGAAATCAAAATATTAATTACTTTATTATAATCCTATAGAATACAATAAGTAATATGACTTTAAATGTTTCCACTAGGACTGATCTCACGTAGCGTTAAGAGACATGACACATTACTTTACTGATCCAATCAGAATCTGCCAGATCTGACGGGGGCGTGGTTTTGGTGGTGTTTGGTAAAATTTGTCAACTTTTCATTAGACCATAAACCAAAACATCCGAAGTATAAAACTATGCCCACGTCATCTTTAACGCCAGTTCAAAGCGTTCTAGAGAAGTATCGGAGTGGCCAATCCGTAACTTTCCTCTTCAGCCGAAAGAACCAACGATAAGCTGGATAAAATCTGTTGCTGTTCCACCTGCTGCAACGGTTCCTTTCAGAATAAAAGCTGAACCATCACGACCCAGGTTTGGGTCTCACCAGACGCCAACAAAATTGTTGTGACCCGGAAGTATCTCAAGACGGGTGGTCGGCTGCTGTGGCTGCTTCTACAGGCTCCAGAAAGGTCAAGCTGGACCTTTACACCACCTGATCTAGACGGGGACTTCCACTCAGGGTAGGTAGACCGACAAATGGCGTTGAATGTGTTTATGAACCTCCTAACCAAAGCTTAACGTGAAAAAATCACCTTCACTCCCACCAGAACTAATCGTTTCTTCGGATTTGCTGGTTCTGAGCAACATTCCACACTACACCATTCACCGTCTCATTCACCTTAGTTACACCATACATTTAGTGTTAAAGTTAGTCTATTTTAATTTGTTTAGTAATAAATCTTTAAACTTTTAAACTTGATACTCTCTCTTCTGTTGTCTCTGAGTGAATACGAAGCTGTTATCTAATCCCTGCAATAAAAAGTTCCAATCTTCTGGTTTAAAATAACCTCACAGATCCGTAAGGTTGATTTCATATTTCCTATGGAATCTTTTGTATTATGGCTCATTAACTAACATGTAATTTAAATCATTACAATAACAACAAAATGCTCCAAAAGATGAAACTAAGGCGGGTCTTCTTCTATGATCTATAACTGTAACGATTGTTTACGTTTGTATTAAGCCATCTTTTTCACCAGTATTAGTGAAATGTTTATTCTTTCAGCTTACTGTGATTGGGGTGATCTAATGGGCCATTCCCATCTGTACCGGGTCAGCCCGGGCCGGGTAGCCCCAGTCGGCCCCAGCCTGGCCCGGTTGATTCCACACATCATTACCTTAAGTCCATGTGGGCTGATTCTGCCCACCAATCAGAGGCTTGCTGTAATGGAAGGTGCGAATTTGCTGTCAGCAGTGGGCGTGTTGGCCCTGGTCGGCCTGAAGCAGACCCCCTCGAGAAGAGGGCTGAGAATGTGCCTTGGTTGGCCCGGAAAAATACCAGGCCACCCAGATATGTAAACAACCTACGCTACCCGGCCCGGGCCGACCCGGTACAGATGGGAATGGCCCATAAGCTGCGGAAAATGTTGCCCATGACAACAGATGGGCCAATCATAGAAATCCCAGTAAACAGAATATGTTCATGGGAATGAAACCAGCTGCGGCCCCTTTAAGGACCAGCTCTCTCCTGATTGGTTAAAAAGCCTTTATAAAACAACATGGTATCCAGTTTCACACCAATAATGGTGTGAGTTATTCCCAGTCTCTTGCATAAATGAAGCACGAGAAGTGTGGTTGTTACTCACCACACTGAAGTCCAGATTCTGCTCTATCCACTCCTGGCCATCTTTGAACTCGTCGTGCAGACCCATGATGTACAGAGTATCGACAGCATCCACAATGGTGGCTCCTAGCTGAGAATTACCTGGATGAGACCAATATTAAAACACATTAGTTCCATTTGCCCACCCAGTCTCCGCTCATGCCTCTCAACTGGCCATTTAAAGACATAAACTCCTAAGAATCACATTATTTGGAGTTAAAATTTATTATAATTTTATTCCTGCTTATTAAATTGAAATTAGACTCCATCCATGTATGTTGAACAACTCAGTCTCTAAAGGATCTAGGACAGGATCTCATCTCCCCAGCAGCAGTCCAGACCACAATCTGATCAGCACACATATAATACTTGTATATTTTGTTCAAAGTGGCACCATTTCCTCTCAGCTACTGCCTGCCCTGCTTGAGCTCCTGAGCCTGTCCACCATCCCTTCTCATCTTCGACTCCATTCAAAATCAGAGCATCTGGCTTCATGCAGCGCTGCAGCAGCATTATCATCATCATAGGCAGAAAGCTCTAAATCTAAAAATACACTGCGGTCAGGCAGGCAGAGATAATAACAAGATGCCCTGGCTGTCTGCCGGATCTTGACAGATTGGCTCGGCTGTTGGTGGAGCAGAGCCCCTCTTGTGCTCCACACAATCCCCATTTGCCTCCCGTCTGTCGCTTTCACCTACAGGAACGCTCCAGGCATTCGCGGCATTCTGATACCATCAACACCAAGGGAGAGGAACATCAAAGTTACAGAGTCAGAAAATATTATCTGTAAGTGGCGGGTTTGAGGAGCAGAGCTCACTTTGGATACACGACTAAGATCCAGCAGCCTTGTTTCTTCTTCTGCACCACCTCTAAGATTATAATATTAACAATAATAATAATAATTAAAGCTGCAAGCAGCGTCGTTCGGCCCTCGCAGCGAAGCTGCTCGCCCTCCTTCCGCACCCCCTCCGCTCCATCCCCGACGCTCTCCAAACCCAGCTCCGCGCTTGTCCATCCTGGACGGCAGCCGGGGGCACCAGGGCACGTCTGGCAGAACAGAAAGTCAACCACCCCGACACCAGAAACCGTGAACGGCCTCCTCGTCCACACCTCACCCTGATTCAGCATCCCCTCTGAGCCCAGCATTACACGTCTCACCACTAGGAGATACTCTATCTTTACCACACTGGTGATGTGATGTTCAGTCTCTGGCAAATCGGAGGCTGTTTGTGGAAGTTACAGTCAAACGTAAGGTCACAGCGTCACGCCAGAAATCGCCATGGCATCAAAGCTCCTCCCTTTCTGAAAAGCTATCAGATCTGAATAGTCATTAGAACATCATGAAGACAGTGCATGACCTTAGTGTCATGTTGACTAAATTAGAGGGGACAAATATGGGCATTTCACCATAAAACAGAAGACTTCCTGTAGTCAGGGGGCGGGGCTTAGGTGATGCCAGCTGTCCACATTGTCACTGTCTTCAGATGTGGTCAGTGATCACACGGACAAAGTTTGAAATTGATCTGATCATGCACAATGGAGTTATTGAGTCAAGTAACGTAATGGCGACTGGTCAAAGTTTGAGGCTTAGCCACGCCCACACCTTTATACTTATTTAAAATCCGACGGTTGAATCTTTTCCTCTATGTCTTAAGAGTATATAGCAAGAGTTTGAAGGTGATCGGTGGAAAGGGCGACGAGACATCATTCTCCTAATAACGTGTGCGAAAACCACTAAATCGAGTACTTGGACCAAAATGGCCGACCTCCTGTGCGACATTGCGCTTGGCTCCAAGAGACTTTTTTGTAGGTCCTGAGACACTACATTAGTGTGCCAAATTTCGTGATCCTCAGTCAAAGCACGGCTTGGGGCTGACAGTTTTAATGGTCCTAGGGGGCGCTATTTCAGAAAATAGGCCACGCCCACAAACTTCAGCTGTCCAATTCTATTAGGGGTCAGAGTAGGATCACTCATCAGAAATTGTGTGGCGATGTCACAATGATTGAAGAAATGAGAGACAAACGTATTTCCATGGCGTGATGGCGAATTTCGCCATGCTCCCAAAGCCCCGCCTTTATTCGAAAGCTGCCAGTACTATAGACCAAGTGACCTCAACTTGTCTGCTGCTATTTGCCAGTGATTGCTGGTGATTGGTTAAAAGGAGTCCAATAGGGAGCTGTGAAAAAAAGAGTGGCGTGGCGACAGGTCAAAGTTTGAGGCTTAGCCACGCCCACACCTTTATACTTATTTAAAATCCGTAGGTTGAATTTTTTCCCCTTTGTCTTAAGAGTCTATAGCAGAAGTTTGAAGGTGATTGGTGAAAAGGGCAATGGTGTAACACTCTCCAAACAATGTGTGCGAAAACCACTAAATCGACTACTTGGACCAAAATGGCCGACTTCCTGTGCGACTTTGCACTTGGCTCCAAGAGACTTTTTTGTAGGACCGGAGACACCACATTAGTGTACCAGATTTCGTACTCCTCAGTCAAAGCATGGCTAGGGGCTGACAGTTTTAATGGTCCTAGAGGGCGCCATTTCAGAAAATAGGCCACGCCCACAAACTACAGCTGTCCAAATCTATTGGGGGTCAGACTAGGATCACTCACCAGACATTTTGTGGTGATGGCACGATAATTGAAGAAATGAGAGGCAAACGTATTGCCATGGCGTGATGGTGAATTTTGCCATGCTCCCAAAGCCCCGCCTTTTTTCAAAACCTGCCAGTACTGGAGACTAAGTGACCTCAACTTGTCAGCTGCTATTCGCCAGAGATTGCTGGCGATTGGGTAAAAGGAGTCCAATAGGTAGCTGTGAAAAAAAGAGTGGCGTGGTGACAGGTCAAAGTTTGAGGCTTAGCCACGCCCACACCTTTATACTTATTTAAAATCCGACGGTTGAATTTTTTCCTTTATGTCTTAAGAGTCTATAGCAGAAGTTTGAAGGCGATTGGTGAAAAGGGCGATGGAGCATCACTCTCCAAACAACGTGTGCGAAAACCACTAAATCGAGTACTTGGACCAAAATGGCCGACTTCCTGTGCGACTTTGCACTTGGCTCCAAGAGACTTTTTTGTAGGTCCTGAGACACCACATTAGTGTGCCAAATTTCATAATCCTCAGTCAAAGCATGACTTGGGGCTGACAGTTTTAATGGTCCTAGGGGGCGCTATTTCAGAAAATAGGCCACGCCCACCGGATGTTCACATCACATTTTGTGGGGGGCTGAACTAGGATCACTCCCAAGAGGTTTTGTGGCGATATCTCTAGAAATGACGAAATGGGAGGCAAACGTAAGGCCTAAGCGGTACGCCTGACTTCGCCGCGCCGCCACAGCCCCGCCTTCTGGAGAAAACTCCCATAAAGTGACGCCAAGCAACCCCAACTTGTCTTCAGTTACCCGCTACAAATTTGGGGTGGTTATTGGAAAGGGCGAATTTTGGAAAATTTCCCAGTAAATCTTGACCTTTTAAGTCCTGAGGGGGCGGGGCTTATGTGACATCATCAATCGACCATTCATTTGTCTTCGGAGGTCGACGACGATTGTCCTTAGAACATTTCTTTAACTGTAATTCTTTCATTTATGAATCTATAGCAATTTGAATTTTTTTGGCGAGTGCTCGAACTTTGAGGCCTGGTCCCGCCCCTTCAGTATTTACGAAAAGTCAATTTTATTGTCTCATTTTAATCGTCCATCGCTTCTGTTCGATCGCACACTATTTTTGAGACGATCGTGCGAAAAATGACCAAACTGTTAAACCAAATATAGACCCTAGAAATGGCCAAAACGGGGTCAAAATGGCCACTTTAGTCCAAAATGGCCGACTTCCTGTTTGATATTGACCATGGGTGCAAGAGGCTTTTCTGTGCGTATTGTTGAGTTCTACAAGTGTACCAAATTTCATCACTCTACTATGAAAAAAGGTCAAAGCGGAGGGGTATTTTTAATTTTCCAGGGGGCGCTGTTGAAACATTTTTTTACCAACTTTCACGTTGCCAGTGAAATACGTAAATTTCACGCACTTTCTATATTGGGCCAGAATTTGGTGACTTTTTGGATATGCTAAGACCCCCTAAAGGCCATCCAAAGACGCGGAAGAAAAAAAAAAAAAAAAAAAAAAAAAAATAATAATAATAAACGGAGCAGATACAATAGGCCTTCGCAGCTTCACTGCTCGGGCCTAATAATAATAATAATAATAATAATAATACATTTTATTTCAACAGCGCCTTTCTAAACAGTCAAGGACACTTTACAGACAGATATAAATCACACAACAATAAAAGATGGAACAGCATAAAACAAACAGACGGATTGGAGCAAAGAGTAATTATTGGAATGCTAGACGGAACAGGTGGGTTTTGAGTCTGGTTTTAAAGAGAGTGAGGGAGTCAATGTTACAGAGGTCAGGAGGGAGCGAGTTCCAGAGCTGGGGAGCAGAACGACTGAAGGCCCTGCTCCCCATAGTAACCAGACGGAAAGGTGGGACAAAGAGGTGGATGGAGGAGGAGGACCTGAGGGAATGGGTGGAGGTTGATGGATGAAGGAGGTCTGAGAGGCACTGGGGAGCTAGGTTATGGATGGCTTTGAATGTATATAGCAGAATTTTGAATTGGATTCTGGAAGTGACTGGGAGCCAGTGGAGCTGCTGAAGAACTGGAGTGATGTGTTGGAAGGAGGGAGTTCTAGTAATGATGCGGGCTGCCGAAGTTCTGGAGGAGTTGGGAGTTTATGGAGAGATTTGTGAGGAAGACCGTAGAGAAGAGAGTCGCAGTAGTCAATACGGGAAGCAATGAGGCTGTGGACAAGGATGGCGACCGAGTGAGTAGTGAGGGAGGGGCGTAGGCGGTTAATGTTACGTAGATGGAAGTAGGCAGACCGGGTAATATTGTTTATGTGGGACTGGAAGGATAGTGAGGAGTCGAGGATGACACCCAGACTCTTGACCAGAGGGGAGGGGGAAACTAAGGAGTTGTCGACAGGAAGTGTAAAGCTGTGGATTTTGGATAGTAAGGATTTAGTGCCGACAAGTAGCATTTCTGTTTTATCACTGTTAAGTTTGAGAAAGTTTCATGTTAACCAGTCTTTGATTTCAGATAAAC